CTGGCATCTACAGTTAGTGTGAATCTCACAATCCAACACTTTCGCGGCTTTTTTGGAAGGGCATTCCAAAGTTGGGATGTTTGATCCTGTCCATCGTGCCGTATTATTACCTTCGGTAATAAACCACGTTTGTAGTGCCGGAGTAGGAGTGACGGTTACCGAAGATAGGGTGATTCTCATGGTTCCTACGTTCTGTGGAATAGTTGGTTGGAGTATTATAGTGTTTTCCGTGGTCTCTCCTTTAGCTTCGGTTATCGAGATTCCCAACACTACCTCTTCCTTCCAACGTAAGCAGCGGAATATCTCGTAGATGTTGTCGTTTACTGGAGTAGCATATATTCGGTAAAACAGACATCCACTGCTAGGGTAGAAACATCCACATCCTATGCCACCGCAGCTCTCCACACAGTGGGTGATTCCAGGGAACTTGTTTCCTTGGGATAGTTCCGGGACCAGAGATGTTGTGTTGACACTTGCACACTTTCGGCCTTTACAACTTCCTGTTCGTGGACACCGCTTCGAATCTATCACTTGCTGGATAACATGCCTCGTGAACATAACTGTTTGTCTGTCGCATATCAGCTGAAGACGCTTCCATTCCAGTCGTATTTCTTTCAGAAGGGTGTCTCGTGTGAGAAGTCGAAAGCATGTTTCTCGATGAAACGTATTCATCTTGAGCATTTGAGTAATATCCACTGCGCAAGTTCTGTTGCCGTCTCCTGATCGTATGCAGGTAGTTGCGCGTAGCTCGAACACGTCAACGTCTTGACATGATTGAGCAAGATGTGCGATACAGATAATGAACAAAAGAGCAATGAATTTTGTTGGTTGTGCCCTTCGAGTTAGCTTGACCCGCAGTTTCGAAAAGCAGGTGTATGCTGCCAGGAAGCACATGCTGAAGATTCGTTGTGTTATTACGAGCAGAACTCTGATCGGTAATCCCACTACTACTGGCACATAGCATATGGTATATATCAGCGCCACAATGCCATACAACACAACATGTTCTTCTTCTTAGACTTCGGGTTCCTCTGCTGCTGGTGCTGACGGTTCAGTCATGGTATCTTCTGAAGGCTGGCTCGGGGTGTCCATTAGTTCAAGAGGAACGAGTTGATTGATTGGCCGTCTGATTATGCGGCGATTGGGCATAAAAAGGTCGGCTTCTCGAACCACACCCTCAGCATTGGATCTGACATTCAGGATACGTCCCATTTTCCAAGAGTTCCTCGGCATGTTTGGGTCTGCTATCAGTACGACTTGACCAGGAATCGGTTGTTTCGGTGATCCTCGATTGCTTGGTAGGCGCACATGCTGCTCCCTCAGCGAGGTCAATGAGTTATTCGGAAATGAGTTGTTTTTCCAGCATGAATTCGTCCTTAAAGGCACGAGTCGGGATTGAATTGATGCGTTATTTTGTTCGAAAATTAGGCAAGGGTGCAATGAGGAACATTAGTGAGGAGAAAAAGCAAAAAGCACCATAGAAAACACTAAATTTCCCTTAGGAGGCCGGCCGTGGTACGACGGAGAGACACAGCGCTGCGAGGAGAGGGAGAACGCGAGATAGTACGTCGTACGTGAGAGGACGCAGAGACCACGTATGCCGTGGTTGATAACGCTGGCAGCACGGCAGCACACAATGCAAGGTCTTAGCGCCGGTGCCTCGAACTTTTGAGTCGCGACAGTGTCGTGCCTACTGCCCTTGGAGGACCCCTTCTCCCTCACTCTAGAAGGGACTGGCTCTTAGGACCTAATCCCGACTCATGGCTTTAACGAGATTCTCTTCTACACGCTGTTTTGATCATGAATGGGAAAGGAGTCTGAGTGATATCATAAGAGACTGGTAGATCCACGATTTGCTTTGTGATCACAATGCTATGAAGTGCTTCTCCGTGTTGTTCCTAAAATTGCGGCCATCAGGGCATGGAGACGGATCCACCGTTGCAAAAAGAAATCATGTTGATGAAGAAGTTGCTAGTATTAGGTCGGTCAAAAAGTATCCGCCGTTTTGCACCTCGATTAGTCCCCTGCATTTTTTGATAGTTTCTTTCGCAACTATTCAAACAACTTGGGTGTCATCTTATAGAGGAAGATCAGCCCTTTCATATTCATACGAAGGTTCGAGGTGATTCCGAGAACATTTGTCGTTTTACCCTCCTTTTTAGGATAAGCAAAATCGTGATTTTCGATTGTTGCCACTTCATGTCTTCAAACTTGGAATAGACACGCCAGGGCCAGCTCGTAATATGGCGACTGCATTGAGAAGGAGTGCTGCTAGGAAACGCATAGCGCAAGATTAGCTCGGCAGGCTTGGGCCTGGAGAAATAAAGCTCGAAAGTGATGCGCGTAGTATAAGGAGTGCCCTCAATGTACGGGATTGTAAAAAAGAAATGAAAGAAGCTTATCACTGATACCCAACTACAGGTGTGGTATTAGAGGTTGGGTCTCTAAAGGCACCGAACTCAGCCTGGTGGACGCTGTGAGAAAGCAGGAAAAATGTCGTCAATCTATTCACCGGAGTAACCCGTGCTGGCAGCTTTAGCAGTTGCGACGCGCGTGGAGGTGTGTGCTTGGACTCTTCCTTGCAACAGTAAGGAACAGTTTTCAAGATGGGTAATAGTGTGGGGTAAGACTATGCTTCTGCACGCTAACAGTGAAAGGGTTACCAAATATGTGGACGAAACCAAGCTGCCTTGGAACGCTGCAAAACCTGGAGCGCCTCCAATAAGGATTTTCCTCAATTTTCGATGGCCTAGCTCATTTCAAAGTCCGAGAATTGACTCATTCGACGACGGCCGAGTCCTGTCGTAAAGAGTAGAACATAAAACATAAGAAACTACGGGGATGATAGTCTGCTTCAAGGAAAAAATGAGGTCCAGTCCTTCACCACGATAGCGCTAAATCGCCCACCGCAAAATACGCTCTGTAGAATCCATTCAGAAATGGCTCAGAAGTTCTTTTGCTATCCTTTATATAGCTCAGGTACATCTTTCACGAACCACCAATATCTATCAATAGCTTCACTTCACGAACCACCAATTCCCCGCTTTTCAACATAGTTCTTGGAGGAGAAATCGCGTTGAGAACTGAGGCATGTCAAATGCGCCTTCCTACAGCTTTTAGCCTATAATAAATTAAAGATCTATAGGAAGGAAGTTCTTAGCATGGGTCTGATTGAGAACAATCTGCTGGACATAGCAGTTTTTATTTCGAACAAAAAGATTGTGTTTCAGCAAAGTTGTGGTGCTTCAAAATTAGGGGGTCAAAACGGCGGATACTTTTTGACCGACCTAATAGCTTCGACGAGACCAGAGAGAGTCATCTGCTGAAGACTCCGCTACTCACCATAAGTTTACTGATATTTGATGCCTCGAGATGTACAGCTCAATAACGCTTGTTTTATAGCAACAAGAGGGATAGCAGCTGGGCCCCTCGAGAGTGGGGGTTGCGAAAATTTCGAAAATGTGCGAACGTGACGGTCGACCCTGATTGTGGATGCCGAGTTGATCTCAGACTGCCGATGAGGCCCCTAAACAAAGACTCCTACTCATCCCCCCTCTTCGAATAAGGAGAGAATGGGCTGCTCGGACTAGCCTCTTCCACCGGCATTTATTGTTGGCTCGTGCTAGCAAGATGCGGCTGCAATCTCACATGCATCACTACAAACGAAGAAACCCGACAATTGAAACTAATCAGACAACCGGCGGCACTTCTTCCAACGCTGCAGCTTACACGTAATCGCGCAAGGACCACGCAGCCAATTATGTGATCTCTACGGCTCGCAATATGGAAATGGCGGATCAGCCGAGTTGCCACATGTTTATCCCAAGATGAACTTTTTGTTCAGCGGCACTCCTTGTTTTTGACTGGGCTCACGCATCTTTCCATCCCATTAGGAGCAGAAGCATGGATTCCGCAGAGTTGTTGCTTCATGCTGCCCGGATGAGTGAACCCTATCTCTTAACGTGCTAGTAATTGGCTGCCAACCAAGGAGGGTCATGGGTCGAGGCGAAACATACACTGCTGGATGTGAATCGATTTTCTGAACAGAGTCATGGAGCGAAATAAAGCAGCTTTGGTGATCAGAGCCCAAGGTCGAGAGCACCGTAGGATCGATTCTCTGACGGGTCATCTCTTATGCTTTCGCGACAACTTGGTAAGACTATCAACTGCGTTGTTGACCAACTTACCTACAGGGGGGAGGGAATTGTCCATGTCGCACTTCGGGAATTCTTCCGTCGCAACGACTGCCGTCATTGGTGAAAGTTCATAACACAACATTATTCACGTTTTCTTCTGTAAGTAGACGCAAGCCGTCCTTCACTGCCCTCGCTCTTTTCGAAATCTGACGAGTGCGATCGCCGTCGAGCTCAAGGAGATTTATCGTAATTGCTCCAGCTTGAAAGTCCTACGGAATTTCTTGAATAGATTCACTGTTGGATAAGTTCCTACAGAAATTAACTCTGACTATATGAACCTCCTCGAAAGCCACTCTTCAGAAAACCTTGTAATGGAACACGATCCTTCAAGGTCGACTAGACCATTACATTTTCGAAGCAGGTTTTCCTAATGCCGTCCATGTAGAGGGTCAGTATTGAATTTTTTATAGAATAAATGGCTTCAACACTAAGTCAAAGGCATTCAGTCTGAATTTAACAAAATGTGATTAAATTCATTTGAATGTGAAGTTGAAATGTATTTTTCATTGCCTCCCTCCCTCCCGTGCGAAGAAAGTGTGAGGAGTTCCCAACCACTTCGGCTGACCTCGCATGGGCCCTTTCCAAGCGCTCTCGCTGCGAATGTGTGTGGACTTCGCATTCAGGAAGTCAATCTATCATTCTCAGCCAAATTTGAGTTAATTAGTTCCTCTATTCATCAACTTCTCGTCGAAACCTATCTTTTAGTCATGAGGTGAAACAACCTTTAGACATGCACTTGGAAGGAGAGAAGCAGTATCTGACTT